TGCAGTATGACCATGAGGTCACCAGCTGCCTGCCCTGCCGTGTTTCTGTGAGTCAGTAACTTCGGACTTTGGCTATTTCTGTATGGTCTTGTGCTGATGAGTTATGTTTTGTCAAAGTGCCTTTCCCTAGGGTTTGTTTCACCTCTGGGACGAAATGTTTACTTAACAGTCCACAGAACTGTGCTGGTCAGAAGAGAAAAAGACAAGGTAGTTCCCAGTGCTGTGAGTCTGCTGCTGCATGTGCTAATTGAGTCATTTCAGACTTCCTGACCTTATCAGCTTAGTTCTGGCCATGTGGTGGTTTGAAGAGAGACACCCTTCCCCAGCTTCCTCTCTCTCTTTCCAATTTTGGATTCTGCTTGGGGGGAGGGATGGCATCTTCTTGCACAGYGTATCTCAGCTGTACACCACAGTCTCAGGATGGTTTTCTGTTTCCTGCTTGCCTCCTGTCCTTGAGAGCTGCCCAGCTCCACTGGGAAAGGCTGAACTCAGTGGATGTTGGAAGAACTGCCTCCCGTGGGAGCAGGTGATGCATGAGTTACTCCTGCCTGTGCAAGGCCACGCTTTCAAGACTATTTGCTTTATTTACATTACTGATATGCTTAAAAACAAGCTTCTTTTATCAGAAGAATTTCCATGTGTCACTTGATCCACTGGGCATCCTGACACAGCCCTACATAGCTTGTGGTGATCTAAGCGTGAAGGAGCAGTTCTTCTGCAGTGCTGTGGGTTTGTTCTGACCTTGTGTGGACAAAAGGTTTCTGTGGTCTGATAGTTCAGGGATCAACTAGAAACCTTTGGTAAAGTCCTGTCAGCAGCATTTGCTGGGACTGCCTTTCCCATTTATGTGCTTTTCACTTAAAACCTGGGGTCTCTAAACCTGCCAAAAATAAATAGGACTGAAAAAAACTAACCAAGCTTACAACAGGTGAAAGATACGAATGTACAGTGTCTTTTACAGGACTCAACCGAAGGTGATGTAGTTGCAGCCGTGTAAGTTGCAAATGGAGCAAGCTGCTAATTGATCTAAGGAAAGTACAATGTGTGTGTGCACTGAATTTGTTGCTCATAAGGGATCGAGGGCCTCATTCCTCCATTCCCATGCAAGTGTGCAGTGCTTGATGTCAAGTTGCTACAGTCATGTTTGCTTGTAGCTTACCAGAGCTCTTGGGATAAATCTCTGTTCTGGAAACTGAGTGGCTCCCAAATATATTTTTTTAAAAATTTGAGTACAAAGCAAATTTAGAATCAGAATCTGCCATTAATACAGAGGTGTAACTGTTTGGGGTTGTGTTCATCCAGTGCAAACAAGATTGTACCTTTTAATATTTAACCATTTGCAGATGGTATGTCAAACACAGCTAAAGGGGTGAGTTACAGTCWATTTCTTTCCCTTTTGGTCTTTGAGACATGTACATGTCGGGCCTTTGGGGTTTGAGGTTTCCTGGAGTAGTACTGGCAGCATCCCTGTGCARTGGAGGTGTGGCTTACACTAGCCAAAAGACGCTGCTAGTGGTGCAAGTTCCTCAGTTCTGAGGTTTTTCATCTGCRTCTATGGATGGGGCAAATATTTCACTTCAGGTTCTTAACTTGCTTTCTTTCTTTTTGGTTTTACGTTGCTCACTTCAGCTCCTTTTCAATTAGTGGACTTTTAAACTGTTCTTTTGTCTTGCTGGCTTATGATGCCAGGTGAACCCAGTGGTACTCCTGTAGCACTGGTAGAAAGGAAGTTCCTCAAGCAGCATCTTTAATTAAATATCTTCATGTGGATTATCTTTTGGCACTCGAAGTAACACTGCTGTTAGAAAAGTGAACTGTTTCAGCTCCTAGGACTGGGATTAACTGCTCCTTGGAGGCCTTTGCTTTAAGGGAATCCAGACTTGAAACTGATTATTTTTGAAAAGGGAGAGGGGAGGGCAAGAAAACTTTGCTTGGATTAAATGGCTTACTCAGACTTTATTCACACTTTAAGGAGAAACTTTTTTGTATGGAAAAATTTTACAATGTGGAGAAATTTCAATGTGGGCATCACAGACAAACATTAAATATTTTTTAATCCTGTATGTTACAATGTGAAGCATTTTTAATGATGTGAGTCGAAAATTAAGCCGAAGAACAGGTAGGTAGAGTAGCTTTCCTAACATCTTCCTTTAYTGCTGTTTTAAGAAGCTGGATCTCATGACACCAACGAACAAATTATCTGTTTCCATTGCTGTTGCAATTGTGTTGAAACTGTGGCACCACTCTTGTCTCARTTCAGGTTTGCCTCAGGTCCTTTCTGTTTTCAGGACATACCTTTGGTAGAATCTGCTTCAGTGGTTTTTTTTCCCACTGTGGTCATTAGTTCAGTCTCCTATGGGTGGAACAGCGGCAGCTGAGGAATTTCAGCTCCTGTGTAATCCATGGCTGTTCAGAAATCCAGTGGTTGCTCAGCCTTTTTCTGTGTMTGAGGCAGTGTGCATGGAGGCTGTTGGACTTTGCTGTGGGAGAGCAAGGACAAARGAGATGACTCCAAATTGTTCAGGAGTGTTCTTAAAAACTAGCAGCTATATGGCACCTATCTCAGAGCTTAAGAAGATGAAACCTTTGCCTCATCTGCTGGGCTCTCCTTGGAGTGCTCAACACTCTCTGTGTTGGCAGAAGCCCCTTGTGAATGGGGCTCTGTTGAGARTATTGAGATTTGGCTGGGTTGGTTTGTTTTACCTGGATGAAGTGTGGCTGGAATAAGCTGTCCTAGCAAGCCTGTGGTTTGGCTGATGCTTACTGAGGCCCTTCAAGGAATGTTTTGTAGGTGCTGCATGCAATAGACAGACATGTAGAGTTTTTTTGTGGAAAAGCAGGCATAAACTGCATTTAGGGTAGAGAAATACRTAAGTGCTAGAAGAGCAAGTACAAGAAAATTAGTGTGATGAGATGTTATGCCCTGATTTTTCTGATAACTGAGTTGTGTGGTGAGTAATAGAGGGTTGCAAAAGAGCCAGGCCCTGTTGCAGTGCTTTTATACTGTTAAGCTGCACTGCCTGTCAGTGGAGGTAGCCAGGTTTCTTTCTAGGTTGTAGGTCCAGTGAATTCTGGACAGTTTTCTGTATGATGGGAATATCTTATTCTAGTGATAAATTATATTCATTGTCCTCTCTGCATTTCCACTCCCCTCTCCTCCATAAGGAAAAAAAAAAAAAAAAAGGACAGCTGCTGTTTGCATCTAAGATGAGTGAGTGAAAAATGCAGAGCTTCTTAAGTCTAACTTGGAATACCTGATTTTGCAGGTGTCATTCATATTTGCTGTGAAGTCCATTTGTTAATGTTTTATTTTCATTYATAGACTCCTTTATTTTCAACTTTGCATGCCTGTGTATAATGATTAGGACAGACATGTCTAAGGCAAATCTTGTTATAATAGTCTGTAAGTCAGAGTAAGTCTGACAGAGGGACAGGACAAAGTCCATTTCCAAATCTGAGAAAAATACAAACCGTTGGAAAATATCTGATGGGATGTGCATGCTGAGGCTGAGGCAATTTGTGTGAAGCGTCCCATGTTGTGTGAGCTGCTCATACCTTCCCCTTGTGTTTCTGGATTCTTCTAACTTCTAATTAATATTTGTATCRATGTAGTGAAGATAAACATATATTACTATTCAGGCTTTACCCTCTTCTGTAGTCTCAGATGTGTCCTTATTGAACACTTTGAGATGCAGGTCTTTAGTGGGGAAAGGAATTTTTAAGRTGATTAACTGGTGTGCTGCATTGGTACTGCTTTTTTAATGCAAAGATAAACACTGATTGTAGAAGCTGAAGGTGGTGGTGTCATATGGAGTGAGATGTTGCTGTAAATACAGAGCAATTACTTCATGGAGTAAACTGTTATTCTTTATCTAGTGAGAGAATCAAAATTTCGGTGGCAGTTTGTGCTTTGCTGTTCCTTTAAAAGAAGACTTTTGTGTGAGCATGTGAAGTGTTTTCAGAGGCTGCTCAGGAGTAAGGGCTCCTTTGTACAGTGCTGGTGGGGTTGGGTACCTACACATAGTTGTTGATAACTTGGACTTCAAAGTTTTGTTTTKCAAAAGCCTTTTGAGGCAAGCTGGTTGACTGTGCTTGCCCTAGGCATGGGCAGTGTGAAAGGTTTAACCTCAGGCTTGGGAGTCATGAATTCCGTATGGGGAGTATGGGATGGGTGGGAATTACCTGTTTATTGCTTTACCTCTAGGGAAGGTAAATAAGAAAAGCCTGTTTACACTGTTTACACACCCAACCATGGAAAGCAACTATTGCTTGTTTTTCCTTTTGGTTGGTGCAAGTGAAAATATCTTGGGGAATGTGGGGTTGTGATTAGAGGAGGGGTGGAATTTTAGATAGGCATTTGGCCTAAGGAATGTGCCTTAGTGTTTTGCTATTATGTTACAGTCCAGATAACTCTGAATTMATTTCCCTTATTCTTTCAGCTGTTTTTCAAGATCATAATGCAGCAGAAAAATGAAAAGCCATAGAAGACATTTGCTTTGGCAAAGAAGTCAGCTGCTGGCCCAGTCTGGAAGATGGACCACTGCTTTTGGGAAGCTTGGGAAATACTGCTTCCAAAAGCAATTTTTCCTAACTTAGAAGRAAAGACAGAGTGCTCAGCTATTTGTGAGCTTAAATCACAACAAACTGTACAGAAGACTGCGGTGCAGAAGGAAGACACTTGAGCTCTAAATCAGGTGGGCTCCTGATGTGCTTCTAAATGCAGAAATCTCTCCAAWACCCACTCTTGAATCATACAGCTTTCCTTACAAAACTACTGAGAGCAAAAATACCCTGTCCTTGTCGCAAAGCWGAAAGCTCATCTGGAGAAGCAGTGAGGAAACTCAACAATGGATCCTTTCAGAGCAAAGATCCCTTGAATGAAGAATTTGAAACTGTTGCTATTCTCAATAGCATCTCTGGCAATATCCAGTATGTCTCATGTGGTTCKCTGGAAGGTGCTGCCTTACCTGTAAAGAAAGGTGGTTTTGTATATAGCAGGGAACAGAGCAATGATGATGAGGGCAACACAGTCCTGGTAGTTCTAAACAACTATAAAAGGAAATGCTGTTGCAAAGGGAGTGGAATGGAACTTGTGGCCCCTTGACAGCTCTAAAGAGGTCCAAATTTAACCATCATACTGTAAAAAAGAGATTTTTATTTATGATGCATAAGAAACTTTCTATGGTTAGGTTTCGGTATAGAATCATAAAATTCCCGAAACTTCGAGCAAGAGGTAAGACTTGCAAATTAAGAAGAATCAAACGAAGGTGGGTGCAGAAAGTTACAAGGGACCATCAAGAAACGCTACAGCGGGATTTTGAAAGTGGATTGTGTAATTGGTTTTCTTACTGGAAATCTAAAAACAACCGTCTTTGGAAGCGGTACAGCTTATCAGATATGAACAATAATACACCCAAATCTTTAGGAGAGGAGAATGAAATATGTGCACCTGAGATCTGCCACACGCAGGATGTGTCTGCTGAGCCGTGTTCTGAGGATCCAGAATCCAGAGGGCAGGATGGCAGCGTGGATGCTGTCCCACCAGAACTGCGTGTTAGAGTTTCYTTGGAGGCAGAGACTTTGCACCGGGTGGAGACCAACGGGGCTCTGGCAGAGGATCATTGCTCTGACATTGTTGTCTCTGTGATGGGAAAAGAAATTGCTGTTTCAGATCAAGATGGTGCAGAATGCAAGGAGGTTGTGGGTGTRGATGGAATGATACTGTTGCAATCCTCCTTGCAGGATTCTGATGTCAATGATAATTTTGCAAATGGACCTTTWTCCATGGAGCTGACACAGGAGGACAATGAGGACAGCTCTAGCCAGATGGAAGTAGAAGGCTCCTTGGACATTTTTAGTTCAAAATTGCTAGATCACCCTTACTGTAAAAGTCCTCTTGAGGAGCCTKCACCAGAAAGCACAGGACTGAAATCAGGAGCTCGGAAGGGAGGCAAAAGGAACAGTCAGAAAACTTCCCAGGTGGCTGATGARCAGTTGGCAACGTGGCTTTGTGGTATACCTTTTACATATCTTGGGGCATCCAGGAATTTCTGAAAACTGCTGCATGTGTTGTGGATTTTGCATATTCTGTTAATTCCTTTGTAAAAATGGTTTCTTACCATGTAAAGGTCACTTAGCATAACATTTGATGAAGTAAGGCTTCAAAGAGGAGACTTCCATGAAGGAGGGACAAATGAATGTTTGTCTGACAAGCTATTTTAAGATATTATTTTGTTTTAGAGAATACAATGTAGTTTAATTGGAATCTTTGTGGAAAATTGTTGATAGAAATTTTAAATGTCTTACTGTGTGGGATCAAAAGGTTCAGGTTTTTACGTGGTTGACATTGTTATTCTTAATATGGTTTTTGAAAATCTTAGGTATTGTAATGCTTCCTTCTACCGTTATACTCTCTTCTCTTGGTCTTAAACAAAATCACTTTAACTAAGGTTTTAATAGCCGRATATTATTCATTGCCCCTTAGTTTTCTCTCCAGTTGTTCATAAAGTAGGCTTGATGAATCCTATTAGACCATATTTTTTAAAAAGACAAGACTAGTCTTAGCAAAGGTTCAGCAAAAAGGCGTTGGGGTTTTTCTATGCTATGCTGAGCGTGCAGTATTTGATAGTCTCTTTAAAGAGGAACACGATAAAAATAGTAATTGGTGTCTTATTTATATGTAGCAGCACTCTACACACATGGTAAGGAGCAGTAAGCTAACACATTGTGCCATCTTGTGCCATCAGTGTAACTTCAGTGATGTTCTAATGACTTCCTTTGGAGAAATTGGCTTTTTAGAGTCCCATAAACCTGAAGTTGATGTCAACTAGTGTTAAAGGAATTGTTTGAAATTCAACATGCTCTGATTTTTCTGCCCAACTTTTTGTCCTTTACTTTTGCAATTGATTTCTCTAAAGCAAAACGTGAAGAAGGAGATTCCTCAAGAGAGGAGTTAGCTTTCCACATCCTTGTCTGCAAGTTAGTGTGAGATATGTTTCTCTGTGACTGGCTTTATGTGATCTAGCCAGGATGAGATGTGTGAAAAATGGAGAGAAACTGTGGTAACCCAGTGAACAGACCACTTCTGCAATGGAGTTTTAAAGTTTGTCCRTCAGAAAAAGAGATGTAGGACTTCTGTAACAGGCAAAAACAAAGGTTGTATCAGGGTGGCAGAAGTTAAAGTTTTGTGGTCTGATGGTATAGTCCTSTTTTCTCAACTGAAAAGCTGTGAAGAATTTTAATTGTGGTGTAACTGTGCACAGGAACTCTTGTGGGTTTAGGAGTGTTGTTAATAWTTAACTGCACCCTAAAAWATAGTGCTAACCTGGTAAGAGTTCSTGGGATAGAAACGTGAAGGAGGTGCAAGTGTTAGGGCTGCTCTCGGGTTTTGAATTTCTCTGCAGCAGCTGAACTTGGATGTTAATGGRCTGCAATGCTTAGTGTATTCAGAAGTGCTATTAGGTATCAAACAGCCCCATGGTAAATCCTGTTCGTGATGGGTGACTGATGTTGCCCCAGAGCTGAACTTTGTATTCTCTTCCTTGAGTTACACCGGCTCAAGYGAGGTCAGTATCTAGCTGGAGGTCTGGACTTCTTCTGCTCTTAGTTGTAATGACAAGAACAATCCTTCCTCAGTGTATTAATAAAGAGCTTTTAAATTTTCTGTGTATTAAAACAGAATAAGGTGCACTCATAAGCCCCATGCATTGTTTGAGTAGACTTGTTGCCAGAGTGAGAAATGTCCTGGTCACAGTGTACTGAGATGTAAGGGATAAAAATTGTTAGGCAACTGAGTGGCAGAGTTGTGAGGAAGGTTCTTTCGCCATGAAGAATGCTTCCGTGTGGTCTGATCTCTTCAATCCTTCCTCCCTTCTGTCACACTTCTTGTTATGTCTTCACTGCTGTTCTCAGCTCATTGTGTTTTGGGTTTTCTGCTTCCTCTCTCTCCTTTGGCTTCTATTCGTACTGCTGTTCTTCTGGCACCCTTTTTGTCCAGTGTTTCTTTCTCCCATCTTGCTTCTTCCTATCCTGATCCTGCAAATTTCCAGGAAATGTTAAAAGCCTTAGTAAGCATACAGTGCACTATCCAATGATGCTCTCTGCCATCACACCCTGGCCTCAGAAGAGTCCTGGACTTTGGATTAGTGCAGTTTCCCTGGACTCTGATCTCAGATCCAGCTTTCTGTACACACCAACTTTCTGTGCAAAGAACACGTTTTCTGCTGTATCTGAAAATTCATTTTCAGAAAGCTGGACAACTTGGCCTTTCTTTCTCTTGTTTACCAGCAAGTGTTGAAATCCTGTTCTCCATTCTCTTTCATTCTCAGAGTGGTTTTGGATGCTTGTGTGGAATTTGTATCTCCAGCATTCCAGTTTTGTATTTGAGGAAGAAAAAGTCTCTTTCCTAGGTTTTCCAATTCCTTCAGCATTCATCTCTTCATTATTTCCRAGTTAATATTTTTGTTTCTGGTGTTACGATTGCTCAGTGCTTTCCTGGGCAGTGGCATGACTGTCTGTGTCACCTTAAATGCCATTCCTAGGACACAAGGGTAAAGGAGTTAAACTTGCTGGGAGTCTGTCTGGCGTCTTYTCTGTTCACTGTGGTGTGGCAGCGGAACTGAGCAGACTGCAAACGCTGCCAGCTCCAGCTGCCTGCTTTGAGGAGAGTCATTCTGCCTGCCATAAGGACAGGATACTGGCTTTTCAGTGAAACCTGTTGCAGGAACTGATGGCTTTTCACATTGCAKTAAAATGATTTAAAATGCTAATTGAAGTAGGGAAGGGGATGGATTCTTCTGTAGCACTGGTATAATTAGTGCAATGTAGATATGCGTGTATATGGCAAGAACAGGAGCTGATCTTTTCCTGTAAAGCTGAGTGATCAGATTCATGCCTTTTTATTTTTGTCCTCTTCCCCTACCCCCGCTTTTATTTAATGTTGCCAATTTGAGCTTAGTTTTCTTAAATATATACTTGCTATGTGTGRTGCTGCATGTTGCTTGGGTGCAGAGTGACTGCTGCTTTTACTTGTAAGAACTCAGAGTTTTATTGGACTGGTGAACTCAGAAGGTTTTTATGTGTTTGCACTTTCATTTTTCTGGTATTTAAAGGATTCCTAGATGAAGTTATGAAGAAATACGGCAGTTTAGTACCACTCTGTGAAAAAGATGTCATGGGAAGATTAAAAGAAGTCTTTAATGAAGATTTCTCCCATAGGTGTGTAGCAAGTATTACATTCTACACCTGGTAAAGGACAAATCACTTGCAYTGCTACTGCATGTTCCACATATAACAACTAGCAGAAAGCAGGCCATTTGGCATGACCTTGACTTGATTTTTCTCTACTTTTTCAATCCTGTTTTAGAAAACCTTTTATCACCAGGGAAATCATGAAGTATCGGGAAAAACATCCAAAACCCTCCACTTGCAATTTCCGAGTCTTCTATAATAAGCACATGCTAGATATGGATGATTTGGCTACACTGGAAGGCCAGAACTGGCTCAATGATCAGGTCAGAAATACTTGGTGTTTATGTGCTTCCCTAACTCTTTTTAGCYCATATATGTTAGCCTATACACTTGTACTCCTTCTGCTGACATTATAGGTGGATTGTCCTTACTTTTCACTTGACAAGGACTGGTGGGCAGCTTTTACAGKGACAGGTGCAGTAAGTCTGGAGGCTGGGAGGTGTCACAACTAGACTGTTTCCWTTTGAAGAAATGGTGTTGCACTGTTTTGATAAAATAGTGGCTACCCATATAGGTTTTAGTGACTTTCCCCATCCCCAGCTTGTGCAGATTACATGAATGACAGTGTGAAATAGCAAACTGTGGCCCACAGCCAAAAAACCAGGAAGGCTGCAGAGCCCAGGGCATGCACCAGTACACTTAAATTGAAKTAAACTGCATTTAAGATTGAGGCAGACTTCAAGCAGCTAGTTACAGTCTCTCCAGGCTGACTGCTATGAGTTGCAGAGTKCTTGTCCTTCAGACAATGTGGCTGTAGAGGCTCCTCTCCATATTGCTGGTTTAAGTGGGTAGGGGCCTATGTTTTCTGGGCACTTATGAATTTGGGTCTTAAAAAAYTGTGATATATGTATTTAACTATTTACTAACTCTTACAGATAATTAACATGTATGGTGAACTCGTAATGGATGCAGTCCCTGAAAAGGTGAGAGGGTTTTGTTATTTTGCCAATGTACCTAATGAGAGATGGAGAGGGAAGGGTGGAACTGTGCACACTTCAAATGTAGAATTGAGATTCAACTCAATSATGTTCTGAGTGGTTCCATTTTAATTTGTTGCTATGTGCTGCTCAGATTTTCTGCTTTTCCCTTTTCAGTGCTGTTGCTCTTGTTTCAGGAACTGACTGAATTAGCTCTGCAGGTGTCTCTGTGGTAACCTAATGTTACTGATGTACCTGTAGAAGACACATGGCCTGTTTTGACCTATCCCACTCTCCTTTCTTCCCTAGAGGTTTCTGTTTCCAGCTTGTTTGCTTCTAAAGTGCAGTATTCATGCCCTTGCTCACCAGTCTGGTGTTTCAGCTGAAATTCCTGATGAAGATGGATTTCTGCTGAGATGACAAACCATGAGTGTTAGCATCTGAACCATGCACATGTGCTGCTTGCACTCACCCTCCCGCCCACCTCATAGCTGTGGGGGCTGTAACAGCTCAAGCTGTGTCAGCTGCCTGCCTGGTGAATGTGAATTTGTGTGGAGCTGTTTGGTTCCTTGGCAGTATTGACTCTGTTTTGTGCATCCTTAACAGAATGCTTACAGCTTTGCAACTGCAGTGCCTAACTGTTGGTGGCAGTTGAGAAAAAGAAAGCGAAAAAAAAGTAATCAGGATAACACCCTCCCCCCATTCTGTGTCTAAATTTGCAGCAGTGACAATTATAAAAACCCATCTGTTTACTAGTARGGCAGAACAATTTTCAGGTGAGACCACAAAGGAAGAACCCAACAAAGCTATTTTTAGATGAGCTCTGCACAATGTAACTCTTAAAATCTTCAAGCTCGGAAGAAAGAGCACTGTTGCTTTGATTGGAGGTGATGGTGATTCTTCATTAGTATTCTCCATATTTCCTGAGTGTATGCTAGGCTTGGAGTATTGGAGATTGTATCTGTTTGCTTGTGTCTGCTTTTCCTTCGTAGTGCATAATTGAAATCCTCATGGGAGATTTTGTGCGGGTACCTCAGAATGTGGTTTTGAAGTCTGTTGGCATAGCTAATGGGTGTTAGACTGTGTTTTCAGATGCTGAATTTTCTAAATTTTTTTCAAGTAACAAGCTTCTACCACGTCTACACTAGCAGAATTATTAAAAACAGATGTTGCAGATTTCTGTTTGTATTAATCTGTTCCTATAATTGCAAGAAGCTAAGCACAGGGAATAATAGTGTTAACCTGGAGCTAATTTTTTTTTTTCATGAGCCTGCATTTTTTGGTCATAAATGCAGGTTTTTACTTACAAAATGGATCTGTCATACTTTCAAAATACTTCTCAGTAGCAGAATATTGTTCTTGTCAGGAGCTGGTCATAGTAGTTGAATACCAAAGACAATGTTGTTGGATTAAATCTCATAAATGTTTTGATCATTTTCTTTTTCTGAGTCTCAGCTTTCAGCAACTAAAGCCAGACGTTACTCCCTTCTCCACCMCCCCCGCTTTTCCAGTCCAGTGTTCTCTTCCTTGATCCCTGTAAAGAACAACAAAAACTAACTCCTTGTCCTGGTGTTTTTTTCGAAGTCTGTCCCCAACAAAAAAATTAAACATGCTATGCCTGGAGATACAAAAATGTAAATATAAATGCTGCAATGGCTCACATAATATATTATAAGGAAATAAGKCTTGTTTTATTAGCTTGCTGAAGAACAGCAATAGTTGAGGCTTGGCAAAGCCTGTGTTTGTCCCTACTGGGGTTCTGTTTCTAAACCTGCATTAAATATTGCCTCATTACAAGTTGTTTTGTATAAATTATCCTGGGGGAAGGGGAATGACTGTGCATGAAAATGTCTGTGCTCATTCCTCCTCTCTCTCTCTCTGTTTTTAGGTTCATTTCTTTAACAGCTTTTTTCATAGACAGCTCGTAACCAAAGGATATAATGGGGTAAAACGATGGACTAAAAAGGTACCTTTAACACAGTGCTCGGGTTCTGCTGGGCTGGGCTCARTCACTRTCTTGAAGCTGGGTTACAGTGGGTKATTTGCAAAAGATGGGTTAGCAAAGGAGCTGTACAGAGTGGGGAGGGCTTGATGAAAATAGTGTGGCACTATTCAAGTTAGTACGGGTATGCTGTGAGAATGTACTTCGAATGGCTACATCTTCAGTGGGAGGTTATCTCTTTGTGTATGTTGTTAATTTAACTGCAAGAAATGTCTCTTACTGCTCCTGACAGTGCCAGGTACACTAATCTACAGGAGAGCAGACTTAATTCTGCTTCTTCCTTTTATCTCACACTGGCATTCTTTGACAAAATCAAATTGTTACTCTGAGTAACACATACCAGGTACTAGAAAGCAGAAATTAGAGACCTGTGGTTAATAAGGCAGATGTTCTCATGACAGGAACAGAATTCACCTTGCTTTCCAGAGCCCATACCAGATCATGGGTGTGACATTTTAAGGGGTAGCTAATGCAAGAAGAAATATTCTTTTTTTCTTTTCTATTCTATGAACATTTGTCCTTTCTAATATGGGAGATGAGGCAAGACTAATCAAAGGCCGTGTTTGAATGTATGATCTTTCTGCAGAAGTACTTAAATAGCACACATCTGTGAAATGCTAGAGATGAACTCATTATCCAAATATAAAATCTTTTCATATAATTTATTAAAAATCTCTTTAAAGAGAGATGGAATATCCATGYTTAATATTCCCACATATTATTTTTTAAACATTCTTTTTCTCCAGCAACCCAAGTTTTGTAAAAAGCCCCAGAATTAAGGTAGATTCTGGAAGCAGAATCTGTATTGCTGTTGCTGCTGAGAGGTAACCAATGAAAGCACGACAATTGTTCAGACATTTACAGTTAAATTCCTGGAGAATCTCTCAAGCAAGAATGAGAACTAAGCAGTTTCCATGGGAAGAATTCTGTAGACTCCTTCATCCTGCAATGTGCAATTAAGGGGAGCTTGTTTGTGCTCTTTAAACACACCAGAGTATTGCACTATGTTTTATAAATGTTCTCTCCTGGGATACAGGAGATCCTRTTCTTTCTGCAGTGGTTTCAGAGCTCCTGTTGGCATCTGTCCTGATCAGCCATCAGACTGGCACTCCTGATCCACTGTCATGGCACAGAGCTGGCTCTGCTGTCTTGCTGAAGTGAATATGCCATAGTTCTTTCTATGTGTCAGCTCTTAAAGACCCCACTTTTGGCTGCCTCTTTCCACTCTTCTGATGCAGGTTTGCACACCTGCAGTAATCCAACAGCTAAAGCCACATGAGGACCTTGAGTTTCGTGTGACTCTGCCGTTGCTGGACACCACAGAAGATGTAGTTCATTTATCTTATTCCAGTTTTCCTTTGTGGTCTCAGCTTGCTGCTGGCTGACATCCCCCTGCTTCTCTCCAAGAATGATGGATTGTTGTGTAGTGAATCCGGGCAGGAAACAGCTTCTGCAGGTGGGAGCAGGGTCGATGCTTGTCACAATCAAAGGACTGTTGTGAGCCAGGCTGGGCTGATAACTGCTGTGAATGCCCAGACCTTTTTGTCTCTTCAACTTCCATTGTTACTCAAGAAATAGACTTTTCTTTCCTACAAAAGACCTGCCCTTGCCAGTAGTGTTGCAATTATGTACTGCTCAAATTGCACAGTGCTTAAAAAAAAGGAAAAAAGTATAGAAATCTTCCATAGGATGAGTTAATTTAGTTCAGTATTCTATTTTTGCATATTTTCTGGATTGTGCCGCTGAAACCCCAGTAATTAGACACTCGTTTCAAGAGGAGCTGGGAGAAGRAAGATCATGAAAGGCCCTGGCTTGGCTGGCTTCCAAAAGCATAAGGGCTCATCTGCCACAGAGACACTGGGGGTGTTACATCTGATCTACTTGTTCTYTACTTCAAGACCTTTTTGCTTGTTTGCTTGCCTGTGACCACAGTGCATCTGCTGCAAAGTTAGGTTTGAGAAAGGATGAATCTGCTCTACCTTCTTCCCYCCCTTTCCTCTGCTCACCAAAGCATCCTGCCCTCCTCTGCCTTCCTCTGGCACATCCCACAGCCTGTGTTAGAGCAGAAAGAGTCCAACTGCAAACTTGCAGTTTTTGAGGGGGTGTCTGTARTTACAGTTTCTTTGTGGTTTAGGTTGGGACCTTACAGATCATCCAGTTCCACCCTCCTGCCATGGGTGGGARCACCTTCCACTGTCTCAGGCTGCTCCAAGCTCCATCCAACCTGGCCTTGGACACTTCCAGAGATCCTGGGGYTGCCACATCTTCTCTGGGCAACCTGTGCCAGGCCTCACCACCCTCACAGGGATGAATTTATTTCTTACATCTAATCTAAACCTCTCCTCTGTCAGTTTAAAGCCATTCCCTCTTGTGTTTTCACTCCATGCCCTTGTCTAAAGTCCATCTCCAGCTTTCTTGTAGCCCCTTAGGTACTAGAAGGTGCTATAAAGTCTCTATCCAGACTGGAAAGCTCCAACTCCTCAGTCTCTCCATAGCAGAGGTGCCTCAGGCCTCTGAATATCTCTTTGTCTTCCTCTGGACCTGCTCCAACAAGTCCACCTCCTTTTTACATCAGGGGCCTCCGAGCTGGACGCAGCACTGCAGGTGTGGTCTCCCAGGAGAGCAGTGGAGGGGCAGAATCTCCTCCCTGACCTGCTGGACACTGCTTGGGATGCAGCCCAGGATGCAGTTGGTTTTCTGGGCTGTGAATGGGCTGTAAATGCACATTTCTGCAGTGTTTCGAGCTTCTCATCAACAACCCAAAGTGTGTCACCTACCCACAATGCAGCTGTGATAGAAATGAGTGGTATTCACACTGGGCAAGTGTCATTACTGAAGAGGTCTRGCTAACCTAAATTGAGGCATGATTGTATTGCCATCATTATCTAAAAAATCCCACTTGAACACAGATGTTGCAGTGCAACCTGAGCAGGATTTTGCCACAAATACAATGTTATGATACTGTACAAGTTTCCTCAGGCAGTTTCTGGGCTGTAATTGTGTTTTTGTGCCTACGAATAAGTTGTGTATGAGGTAAACATGAAGAATGTGGTGAGAGAGTGGAGGGGAAAAAAGAAGACTTCAGTTATGGGGTAGCAGAAAGGAGACTTGGATATAATTAATTTCTTGTTTTGYTGTGTTCTGCCCGTGGAACACTCTCTAATATATGTTGTTTTTTTTTTTTGTCAGGTGGACTTGTTCAAAAAGACTCTCTTGTTGATTCCTATTCACCTGGAAGTCCACTGGTCCCTCATTACTGTGAACATCCCCAGTCGAATTATTTCATTTTACGATTCCCAAGGCATTCATTTTAAGTTTTGTGTAGAGGTAAGAGTGACAGCTGTGTCTGAAAAGTTTGAACTGTCTTCTTAAACAAAACACTCCCCCCTTGTTTCTGTTCAGCCATAAACTTTAAATGTGGTATGTCTGTCATTGTCTTGCTGTGTATGAAATGAGAATCAGCCTGTCCTGCTGAGGAGTCTGAAGCACAGACCTCGAGGGTCACACAAACTGGAAGTCGAGGTCAGATTGCTTATTGCCCAATTAACCTGACCATGTAATCAGCACAGCTTTGGTGACTCTGTCTTGTCACTCCCACAAAAAGCAGGAGCTCCAAGCCCAGTGCCTTGGGAAGCAGAATAACCCCAAGGAGAGTAAGGGCATTTCTTTCGTCTTTTAAGGGACTTGTATTTAGGATAAATGATAAATTGTGATCATTTTGGGGATAGGTTGCCTGGGTGAGAGCACAGRACTGAAGATGCTGCAGTGTTGCCCAGTGGGGTTTATGTGTTACTGTGCTATTAACAGCGCGTTGCCTTTTTCCTTGGCCTGCATTGAAACAGAGTGTTTGCCTCTGGTTATAACCCAGCAACCTTTCAGGGCTGCAACCTGAACACTGGAGTTAAATTATCAGTCTTCCTGATAAAGAGCAGCCAGGAAATTTTTGCTGGGCTTAGCAAATTGTAATGACCCTCTTACAAAAGCTAATTTTGTCAACTTAATTGCTTGCTTGATGCAGCAGCCCTCTACTTTTAACTGTGTGTAGTTGTTGGCTTACAGAAGAGTAGTAATGATTGTACCCAGGAGAGTTCCCAGCTAGGACTTCTGAATGAAGATAGTATGCCTGCTGGCATTTGCTGAGGATGAAGCTAATGTTTGTCCTGGGAGCAAGAGATCTCATGCTCTGTAGCTTGTGAATGTGCAGYATAAACCAGCCATCCCTCTCGGCAGCCCTACAGTTTCTCATGCAGCCTTGCAACGTGGTCTCTCCTATCCCATTCCAGGCAAGGCATTTGCACCTGAATGTCTCACAGACATGAGGCACTTTTATTTTTGCCTGTTCTAGGGGAAGGAGGGGGAGAACTACCCCAGAATTCACTGTGATCCATACACTAAGGTGAATATTTGTGTGCTGCAGTGTTTAAATTGTGCTATAAACGCCCAGCCTGTTTACAGAGAAGTAGAAGGATTTGYTTAACCCAGGACCATAGTCTCATTTATCTTGCTTCCTTCTCCTCGCTTGTGTCAGCCTATTTTTTTTCCTGTGTGTCACTAAAGCTCTCCCTGGAGCTTTGTTGATTAGCTGCAGAACTCGAGCGTTTTGTATTGAGATTCCAGCAGGAAAATGCAGTCGTATCGAACCTAAGGGCCTTGGTGGCAGACAGTRAGCCAGGAAAGAGCACATGCCAGRCTGCTCTGTTTTTCTCTGCATATCTTGGAGCACTCTGACCTTGTGCCTGGGTGCCACAGCTAGTCTGGTATGAGGTAGAGTAGTCTGCAGTGCAGCTGAGGGGTGTTAGAGCTGCCCTTGATACACCAAAATGAGTCTTGATGGTAGAAGGTGCAATACCCACCAGAATTCATTTCTTTACCTCTAGATCTGAGCTCAGCTCCTAATGCTCACCTGAAATTTGTCCTCATTGTCAAAAGCATTCCAACCAAGCTGTCAGTGTCTCTCTCCTGTTTTTCAGAGAGTGAATAATGTTGCTTTTTTTTTCCTTTCCTCTTTAAAGAACATTCGAAAGTATTTGCTGACTGAAGCAAAAGAGAAGAATCGCCCCGAGTTCCTTCAGGGTTGGCAGACTGCTGTGACAAAGGTAAATGGCAGCACTTTGAGCCCTGGGGTCTGACTTTGTGGGAGATTTCATGAAGCTGCTTCTAAATTCATATATTTGTACAAGTAGTAAATGGCTTTATGCTGCCCATGTGGAGGGTTCTGGGAGGAATGCAGGTAGTTACACATGGGAATTCCAACTCAGTTGTTCATTCAGCTCTCACCAGGGCTTTATCACTTTCTGCAAGTACGTGGTGATCTGAGCCTTTCTCTGGATAATTAAATATGTGTGCAGCAAAACCTGCAGCTGGTGTCCATATTGACACAAGGTCAAGAACTGAATGAGCTGGACACTCAGCTGCCCTCCTTCTCCTGAARGGGCTGTTCTGAGTGCCAAATGGATGGGCTTTGATGAGGGAGGGAGCAGGCTGATGTTGCTACTGCTGGTATTTTATGTTTGCTATGGATAGAGGGCTCTGGTCTCCAGGGCTGTTTGTGGCACATTGCGTTTGATYGCAAGTAAACAGAGTCTGGCAACAATAAACGGCAATAACTTGTGTGTAGTGTAAATGAGGGAATGTGTAATTTGCGTAGCCATCCCATAATGGCTCCAAAGATATAAAACAGGTCATTGCACACTAGACATACTTCCAACAGCTCCCTCCTTGCACAGGTTTATTTTTAGATGCTGATACAATGATGAAATTATTCCTCTCTGCACTCATGCACAACCTGTGCAGTCAGTTCGTCCTCCTGCATTCTGTGAGGCAGAAGATTTGGGAGTTGAGAAAAAACAATCACTTTGCCWCTTCAAGTGCCAGAGATGTAATAGCACAGTGATTGGAACTTTTTAGCTCTGCAYAGCAAAATTGAGCATGTTTGAGGAAATAATGAAGGTTGGAAGTTATCATTTGAGGCTGCCTTGCTCGGTCCAGTTGCCTGGTGATGGACCATTTGTCATGGTACTCTAAGACCCTTTGGTGTGGCTGGGGGAGGAAAGCTACTGCTGGTAGCATGGATRCTGAGAGTAATCTTCCTCTAGGCCTGTATGACTTTGCTGGTACAGTTTTGTCCTGTGTAAAGTAGATAATGCTGTACAAACATTTATTTAAACTAATTGAGAAGCTGTTCTGTGTAGGTCACTAAAAGAAAATAAACTTGAAAGAAAGACTTGCAATTTATTTTCTGTTCTACACTATATATTTTTCTAAGTGTTAGGTGTKATTCTAACAAGGTGTTGAGTGTCACCTTGCAAAATTTGGGATCAGAATAAGTAATTACAGCTCCAGTTTCTGGTGCTGCAGAAGAGCACGAGACAACTGATCCTGAATCTCCTTTTGGTCTTTAGGCAGGGGTAAGAGAACRAAAAGATAAGTAAAAGGATAAAGATCTGACATGTCTCTGCTTGTTTCTTTYCCTTTCAGTGCATTCCACAACAGAAAAATGACAGTGACTGTGGGGTTTTTGTGCTCCAGGTAGGAGTTTCCTTTTTAAAAATCAGTGGCCTGTATTATTCATGTGGTAAAAGTTCTTTTTTCAACCAAGCCTTTTCCTTTTCCCCAGTACTGCAAGTGCCTCGCCTTAGACCAGCCTTTTCAGTTCTCCCAGGAAGATATGCCCCGAGTGAGAAAAAGGATTTACAAGGAGCTGTGTGAACGCCAGCTAATAGACTAATAAAATGCAGCCAACCTAATTTCTCTGGCATTTCTGACAAGGTGCAGCTGGTGTTTGTGTACTTGAATTTCTGAAAACTTCCATGAATTTTGAGCGATTCTCAGCTGAGTGGTGTGGCCACTGTTGTTACCTCAATTTTTTGCAAAGTTCATTAATTGGCAGAACATAACAGAGCTGCCATAGAATATTCCTAATGTCAGTTTGGTTCTCTTATGTTCTTTCCTGTATTTAATATTTATTATCTCAGCATGCATATAGGCAAAGCATGCAACTAAAACCATGAAACGGTAGAATTGGTGCACCTTTGAGATGTAGCTAGAAATGACAAATACAGGTGAATTTGTCTGGAAACATGAAGATGCATGATATGTTTTCTGATGCAATAATGCTTTGAATGTATCAAAAAAAAAATCAATGCCATAAAAAGAACAGCTAGAACCTATTTGGTAGTTCCATTGTCCCTGTTGTGGCTGTGTGATACTGAATACCACATTTTAGGGTGGCTAAACTCATCTACAGTTTTAATTTGTGAAGACCCCTTTTAAAATAGAAGTTGCTAATGAAGTTTGTTCTGTTAGCATTTCTCTGGCTGTCATTATCAGCCTGTCCCTATAGATAAAAAGCAGCCTTTGCACAAATAAAGCTTCAGCACTTGTCTGTATAATAGAAAGTACAGAAGTGTTCAGTCAGTCAGATGGATGGTAAATTCCTAGATGCTGCAGAAGTCTCCATGATGTRTGTATTAAGGAGAGTTATAAGCTGGCCTGAAGAGCCACAGCTTAGATAGTTAGAAAAACTCCTTGGCTGTAACTGTTTACATCTCAGATGGCTKTGAGTCATTTCTCAGATCCACAATATGCAGTGAAAATGTACCATTTCTCCTTTCAGCTCTGTCTTCAAAGCTTGTTGTCTTTAACCTCCCATTGGCTTTTGCTTTTGTTCAAATATAAATTAATTAATTTCTGCTGCATCTGCTGTTTGATTGCCTTGAACATCCCTGGTTTTGTCTGCGTTCAGTAGCACCGAAGGGTCTGGTTGGGAGTAACAGCACTTGTGGTGGGTGCAGTACAAACACAGTGAGGTGATGTGATCCTGCCCTAGAGGGGTGGGAGCCCGTGACCCCGACACTGAACCTTGCAGGGTGTTTGCACTGGGCAAGGATGAGTAAGAGCAGTGCATCTGTTGGGTTTTCACCTTGGTCTGTAGACTRTGATGTGCTCCTCACTGAAGAGAGCTACTTCTGTTTGAAGAGATTGTTGTCTGGCACTGCTACACCAGCAAATGTCTTTGCTGTGTTTTTCTGCCAGATAAAGGAGTGAGCCCAGAGGAAAAGTATTTTCCTTGCTAAACATCATCTGTTGCACAGCTTCACTTTGTGTCTGTCCATAGCCCTGGCTTCTGATGGAGAAAAACTGCTTTGACTTCCCTGTCTTGCAAATTAATTCAGACTTGAGCTAAGCCAGGTGCAAATCCCTCCTAGATGAGGGGAGGGAGGAGGGAGGGAGTGCCAAGCACAGCCAGGCCAGGAAGTGGAAGCACGTGCACACTGTGCTGTGCTGGAGAAGGAGTTCCTGCAGTATCCTTGCGTGTTCCCACTTCCCCTTGTTGGCAGCTGGCAAGGACTGGCTTAATTTAGCAAGATAAGGAAAGCCTTATGCACTTGGTTAGATAATTTAAACAAGGAACTTAATGAATCAGAAARAACCCTTCCAGACAGGGAAGGTACATTTGCCTATTGTATGGTGCAGAGCACCCCATAGCACATGGTTTATTTGTGTTTCCCGGAGGTGTTACTGATAGGACCAGCTGCACCTTCTTGGGGTGAGGGGTTCTGAGCAGTGGAGGGTGACTTTGGGTGTAGTTTCTCCTGTGGGGTAGCACATATGAGGCAGTGCTGCCATTCTCACCTCTCTGCACTGCTGTCACATGAATGGTTCCAGTGCTGATGCTGCCATGTGGTGGGACGTCTAAGCCAGGCTGAAGTAGCCCAGAGGACAGTTCTTACCTCAGTATAATTTGTCACTGAATGTGCATCCCTGTATGAATGAATACGCACAATGGGGTGGCCTGGAAGAGATGTGGAGGTGGTGCCAACTTTGGGTGTGGGCAATAGAGCCTTTGTTCTCAAGCAAGACTCCTGGTAGGGGGAGGAACACTGAAGGAGAACTGCGAGAGCAAACTGCTTTTATTTTCAGAACTTAAAACTGTTTGGTAAGGAAGCTTGAAATGTATCCTGTGAGACTGTGTCAGCCTGGGAGGCTCAATGCCTCCAAGAAAGACCCTTATTATTTTGTGGAAGTTGCCTCRTTGATGGATATTTTTCATTGCATGGGAATGTGCTGGAACATTGGACTACAGRCAGTTGTTTCCTAAGGCTTGGTGCCTACTACTGGTTGGTAGATATCCATCTTGCTCTGTATGAGAGCTCCTGAGGAGTCTTTAAATCACGATCCCTTTATCAGCAGCATCAGGAACAGCGCAGGATTTCTGTGAGCTGCGTGTTGAACGTGGGGGCTTTGAAGCAAGTGCATGTGTGTCCCAGATCATTTGAGAGGAAGGGGCTTGCATTTGAATCTTCTGCCTTGTGAACTGGGGAACAGGGTGGGGAAACATGCATGTTGGAAAGTACTTCTTATGTGCTTTCTTGTCATCTAGAGGTTTCCTRACAAGTGTTCCAGTTGGTTATGGGGCAGCACAGAGGAGTTGCACTTGAGTCTCCAGCTGTGAACACACCAGTGAGGGGCCTCTGAAAAAAAGGAGGGGAAATTGAAAACAGATCTAATGTAAGCAAAGTATGTTGGTGCAGTGTTGAAATTAATCACAGGCAGTCRGAATCTCAGGCTCTGTAATGGTGTATCCTGTGAAACTGGACTAATTAACTCCTCCTTGARAATGTCTTTGATGCCTTAAAGGAGATGGACTTCATAATCTGTAGTCATTTTACTAGTTCTTAAAACATTCAGAACTATGTAGAGTGTTTTTATTATGAGAGGCACATTTATGTGGATGTAGTTATGGCTGTTAGCAATTCCATTAATGTGATCTTCAGATTTTCATAAATCACTCTGAACTGGTTTGGCGGATGCTTAAATTTCACGACTTGTTCCAAAGAGATTGTCTCGCTGTGCTGATTTATACAAATAGTCCCAGAACTGGTGAAGCCTCTGCCTCGTGCGTGACAAATTCAAGCTACCTGAGTTGTAATAAACCTTAAACAGAATTGAAAATGAATTATCAGTTTCCATTTCGTTTGCTTTAATCTATAGTTTTAAATGACTGCGCCCCTGATACAAATCAATATATGCAGAGTGTGGCCTTGATTCTGCAAGGTGAGTAGAGAGAAGCCAATTGCTGAGCTGCTGCTACTTGCAGAATGGAGGCTGGGCCTTGGTGCTGATGTGCAGTTGTTCTGTTCTTACCTGGCTCTCCTGAGTGTGAAGGTGAAGTTTGGAATGTTTCACATGAGCTGATCACCGAGCCAGACAGGCTTGCACAGAGCTGCTGGCTTGTGTTGAATCTCCAGCCTAATGCTTAACCTACCTTTACTTTCTCAGAGCTTTGATTGGCGTTATCTACTGTAGCATTTACTCAATTCAATGTGAAAATTTAAACCTTGGGAAGTGCTGCAGAGTTAACTCCACTGAGGAAYGGCTGTGCGCTGTGGGTGTGCTCTTGCATTGAATGAAGCCCATGTTCCTGTGAAGTAATAAAATTGAGTTTTACCATAAACCCTATTTTCTTTCAGTGGTTTGGTTTCATTTTAATTTTAAAAGCAACCGATGTGATGTTTGAGGGAATGTTTGTAGCAGCTTGTTTTGGATCTGTGTTGTTAGGAGAAGCCTCTCCAGTTGATTAGTTCAATAACTCTGAGCTGAACACTAATGRTGCTCTCTGTCTTGCAGTGATATAACTTACTGTGGTTTAAGTTCTGACAAARTACAAGATTGGAGATGTCACCCATTGCATAAATAAGGGTGGAAATCTTGCATTAGACACTTTCTTCTAAGGTGGCATTTAAAAAACACAAATCTGTCAACAGAACACGTAGGACTTAAATTGCTTTTCTAGATCAAACTACACCAATGCCCTTGTTGTATTGCTTGTGGATTTAGCTGTGTAACTATAGAGTTAAATCTTGTCTTTGCCACATTTTACAAAGCTGTACAGCTTGTGAATTTGTGATAATGGTGAGAATGAAGGCTTAGCAAATGTCTCTTTAAGCTATTAATCATGAGACTGGCAACATCATTGTCTTTATTACATTCATAATTTAAAAATCCTATCATGGAGGAGGAAACATGGATGCTTGTTAAATATATTCTTCAGTGGAAAGTACTAAGAAATCAGATCATTAAAGTACAGAATCATAAGAGACACTAGAGCCTTGCCAGGAACAATAATTACTATTTATATGTAATAGGCACTGGGAGGGAAAAAGATGAGTCTGGTTTGCTTATGCCTGAACTTAATGGGTTTTATGAGTAACCAGCTAGAAGGATTTGGGGATTGAATTTCATTTCAGAGCATGTAATATTACAAACTATAGTGCTAAAAACTGTTGTAAACTGAGTGAAATATCTTGAGAAATCAACTGGTTTGTTCTCTCTCAACACAAGTAAGCAGAACATGTGCRAAGCAGCTCCAGCTTCTCCCTGAAATTCTGATGAGTTCTTAATTCTTGGGCTTAATCTCAGCATTGCTGGTAACTCATCTCCTTTGCCCTGGCACTTTGAGGTTTTAGACCTTACCTAACGCTAAGGTTACCTGGGGCTCTTCACAGGCAACTTTGGGGAGTCGCTGAGAGGAGGAGGAATGAAAAGTCCATTGGGGGATCTGTTTGCATTTCCTTGTGATAAATGTGTTGTGGGAGGAAGGGCAGGGGAGAAACTGAGCTTTAAAAGGAGGTATATAACTGGATAATGTGGATCAGGTCACGTTTATGGTACATGAGTTGATGCAGACAAGGAGCCATCTTGTTTATGGAAACATTTGAGATGAGTGGGAGAGAAATGCAGGGAAGAGATGCCTTCTGCAGGGATCATTGCTCTGCACAAAGGGACACTCTGTCTTGCTTCAAGCCCATGCATTTCAGATCAACTTAATGCAGGCAGCAACTGCAGTGAAGGAAGAAACTCCCTCTGCAGTGTTCAGCTGAGCATCACGTTTGTTTAGGGCAGTTGGGGCTCGACAATTCACACTCAGCATCCCTGACAGCTCCAGCCCATTGAAGAGCTGGCAGGAATTGCTGTTCCACAGCAAACCTGGGGCTGCCCCAAGGAAAAACACTCACAAATGCAATCGATTCCAGCTCACCTTTCAGGTCAGGCTTCTCTGGCATTTCAGGTTTGGGGGTGTTGGTGGTTTTTGTTTTGTTTTTAAATGAGTCTGAAGTAAAGACAGTTTTAGGGTAATTCTTCAATTAGTGTGTTCCTTTTTCATTCAGGAAACTTGGCTTAGGAGATCTGCTCTAGTTTTGCACAGTGAAATGCTTCTGCTTCACTATTAATGGGCAAAAAAGAGTCTTCAGGGCAGAATTTTTGGCAGAGTTTTGCGTTTTGTCCTCTAGTGAATGATTCTTCAGGTGAATGGATTTTTTCCTTTAGAACACGAATATAGCTAAATTATTCTTAAGTGAGGAAATGCAATGTGTTGAATTAATGGCCACTTAAGATTCTTGTAAGCAATTGGTTGTCCCCAGACAGGATGTGCTAGTCTTTAGAAGGGACTGGGATGTGTTTTGAGGTGATCAACGRTATTTAGAAAACAGGTCCAGCTCCTAAATTCACTGTCTGATCATTTTGCCAGAACAAACATCAGAAACGGATCATTTAAATCCTGGTGCAGTTCTTTGCAGGGCTGTAGCTCATCACCTTTCCTGGGGCTGTGGGGGTTCCCTGGGTGCAGCCTGAGTCAGATGGATCTTCCCAGGGTACTCTTTGGCCACCAGATGTCACGCAAGGACCACCAGAACAGCGTGTGCTGCTGTGCTCCAGCTCCGTGCTCATGGCTTGACCAAGCCATGGTGTCTCCTGGTTGCGTGTCACTGCCACGTCGGTGGCTGTCTCCTCACACGTTCCTCRGCAACGTCTGCGCTGCATTTGCAGAAAGAATGTGTGTGTGACACCAACYCCCCCACCAGCACCTTCCAGCCACCACCAAATCCACTGAAAATCCCTCTGTATCAAACATGTAAGTGTTTGGCTCCAGTGCGATTACTCAAGAGCCCCATCAATTCTACAAATTGGCCGAAACATTTTTTGGTAGAGAAGCCTTGCATACCAGAAGTCTTTAGTCTGATCAAACTGCTGCCCTACCATAGATCATGGCTGTTATTTTTATAACTCTGTATTACCGTGGCAAATGCTGGGAAGGGGGAGAAACCACATCAGTAGCRACTTCTGTCTGATTTGTGGTCGTATGCTTATAACTTGACATGGTTTTGCAAATAACTAAACAAAACCAGGAATTCATTTGAGGGGGGGGAGCCTGCCCAAAACTCCAGAAAACGGCTGCATCAAATATCTTGTGTGGAGAGTCTGAATTGCTCACAATTTAGATTTTTTAGTGGAAAATGGTTCAGAGCMGGAATGGGAACTGGTTGCCCTCTGTTAGTGAGTTGGGGCTGTGCTGTGACTGTCAGCCACTGCCAAACACTGTGACAGCCTCTGGGCCATGGATTTTTTTAAAAATTTCATTTAATTGCTGGTGTCTGCTCAGGATTTATCCTAAATTTAGAAACATTCAGTGCTCTCTTTTCTCTGCAATACCTTTATAAATTCCTRTATAATCTGATCTCTAATTT